CAAAAACAGGAATGGCCTGCAAAATATTATGACGAAACCCAGAAATCTAAAACTTGCTCGATCTGTACAAAAGCTTACAGCAAATTCATCACTATATCTCTAGAATTCCATTTCATAATTCTAGAAAAAACTGCAGCTTTGATTTTAAGAGCTAAAGAAGTAGAGGATACAGAATTGCCCCCAAATTTCCTCTCATTTCTTTCTCTCCATATAAAATATATCGAAGAGCATATAATAAGATAATAAAATTCTTTGTTCTTGTCCTTTGTATCCTTGATGTATTCAAAAATTTGCAGCACATTAGGTCTTAATAGTAAAAACCCAAGGTTGGACATAAGCTTTGTGAGGATACTGAAAGATAGTCACACTCAAAGAAGAGGTGTGTAACAGTTTCATCACAACAGTGACATAAAGAGCATTTAGGATCTACATTGATACCCCTGGCAAGCAAAGCATCCGCAGTTTTTAAACCACCAGAAATGGCTATCTAGCAAAAGGAGGAATACCTTAAGATATAGTGCTTATGCCATACAATTTTCCACCAATTTACTTTAGCATCTTGTATATAATAAAAATCCCTAAAATTCTTGTGCTTACAGACTTTACCAGCACCCCAATACAGGCTAACCCGAGAAGTGGTAAGGGGAACTTCAGAAAGAGTAGTGTGAATTTCTTGAGGTAAATATTCAGGCAAATCCCAAGCGTTCCCGTTAATATTAATAATAGCATTGATCCTCTCATTAACATGAAAAGCATATAAAAGTGCCTGAAGAGCAGCAATCTCTCTAATACACTTATCTTTAAACCAATGATCCCAATATAAAGCAAATTTAGAATGTACAGACACATCAAAATGAAAATTCTCTTTGGCCAAATTTGCATCCCTACAAATAATCTTCCAGTGTTTAGAAGCTTTAGAGATAGGATCCTTCCAGGGAGATATGTAATGGTATAACAGCCAATTGCTAAGAGGGCTGTTATCATTATAAATTCTAGAAATAAGGGAGCAGTTAAAGGGAGACTGATTTGTTAGGGGAGACTAATTTGTTAAGCTTATTGATATCTGTGCAGGCCTAAAAATGTATTGTCAAATAAAGCAATTTAAATATATGTGTACCATTATCTTCTATTTGTTTTACCATTAATAAAATGGCTCATCACATTATAATTCGTTGAAATAAGCTCCACGCTTTTGCCTGAAGTAAGCGACCCCTTCAATGATTTTAATTAAGCAACTTGTAGGATAATGAACTACAAAGGCAATAACTTTGAATAAATCCGTAGAAAGATCTCGACTTAGCTTGGGACGGATTTTTTTTCTGTTTTTTAAAGCAGCTGTCTAGTATAAAAATTAAATATTTTTTATTATAAACTTATTTTAAGATGCAATAAAAAAGCTGACCCGTTTGGAAAAGTTTTCTTACTATGGATTTTAGACATTAAGCACATCTGATTTTAAGAAAATTGTATATTAGAAACTTGTTTTTTAATATAATTTTTTGCAAAGTTATAGTAGATTTATAATTATTTTTGTAAAAAGTTGCCTGAATTGTCAGTTTGGTTTGAAGTTATTACTAGAAGGAACAAGATCAAATTTTGTAAAGTTGGAGGATTAAATTGTGATTAATTTTATAGCATAATTACAACATGAGAAATTATTTGAGAATAATTTTATATAATTGAAGGATTAAATTGGAGCAAATGATACTTTATGTCAAAATTATTCATATACAAATAATCTGGAGATAATTTTGAAATTTATCTTATAGAATATTAAATTGTTAATTTAAAATACATCTATTTAATTTGTTATAATAAATTTGATTTTCTATTAATTTCATTAAAACCAAGCACATAAAGAAAAACAAAAGTAACAACAAAAACATCAATATTTGTCCAAATATACCACCCAAAAAAAAAAAAAAAATCTCCTTCTCTTATGTCTTTTCCCAATCATGACCTGTCCACTGGTTTTAAGACAGTTGCTGCATTCCCTGAAATTACTACTCGCCACCGATGATAAAACCATAAGCAGGTTTGTAACCTTATATCTCTCGATCATATATTCCTCCTTTCTCTGATTTGTCAGCTTCTGACAAACTTCTTTAACCTCTTGCAAACACTCAGAAAACGCCATTTGCAAGAATGCCCCCTCACATGAAACAATGGCCTCTTTGTTTCTTTATGCGCTTCAATCACAGCAGCATTCACCAACTGTTTGTCTTTATGTCTTCATCCTCCCTCCCTTGAAATAAGACATGTCGCCCCATATTGAGTTCTTCAAATTCTTCACGTAATTACTCTTTTGTCTTGTTCACAGAAAACGCTTAAGTTGATTCATTCATAACGGAGGCACCAAAGTGGCCTATCACAAAAGATATTTGCTTAAAAGAATCATTAAACAGAGCGATAGCTCGGTCAACTTTTTAACTTCTAATATGATTTGCTTGGTTTCTTATGGTGGAGCCGGCGGGGCGCTGCCCGCGCTCGGACTACAGGCCGCGCGGGCTCTGCGGTTCTTTACTTTTTTTTTTGTTAACTTCTTTTGAGTTGAAATCTGGCTTTTTAGTTTTTAGTCTGGCTGAAGGCATTGGCCTCTCACAGCCTTTGCAGCCGTTGGCTTTGCTTTGAATGCAACCCAAAGCTACAACGTCTGAACACTTCGCTGTTCACTGATTAGAATGGCACCCTCTTTAAAAGCCGTGCATTGGTCAAATCAAGGAAAAATTATTCTATGCGGATGCGAGACATCATTCAGAGACCAATTAGAATGCGTAATATCACTCATTCGCTCGGTACCATAGCTCGGTGCCGCGGCTTGATACAGCTGACGTGGCTACACTTGAATCGCCTCCGGACATAGAGGTGCATCCAGCGTCCGCACAAAATAATTTCTCCAAATCAAGAGAGGAGTCTCTCTTTGTCGGCAATAATAAGATTGTAAAAAAATTTATAATATTAATGCAAAATTAAATAAAAAAATATAAGTTATAAATAAAGATTATCATGATCCATGAGCCATATATAAGGACTAAAAATTTCTCATACCTTTAAAACATCCTTCATCTCTGCATCTAGATAGTCTTTTTGAGCCTTAATTATATGAAGAGTAGCATGGGAGCAATAGGCAGCACATGTATCATTCTTCTATGCGTTGACTTTTGAGCTGTATTAGATAAACCCTAATTAATGGCAAATCCTTGCATTCATGAATCAATTTCAAGGCTTAACAAGAGAAATGAGACGCGGCTACCCGTTAACGACCCTTTAGATCTGTATTATTTTATTATGTTTTGACTTAACTCGTGTCAAGGATTCAACTTATCTACCTCCCGGTTTTTAGGAGTCGAGATTATGTGACTGATAAGTTATTAAACCAATAAGTTATGAGAAGATTATGCTGAAAGATAATTTAAAAAATTGCTCCAAAGTCATGTAATTAATTATAATCTATTTTTTTTCAAATACATAATAATAATAATTTTTTAAATATGAGTATTAAAATAATAAATTTAGTTAATATTATATGAATATAATTATTAAAATTACCAGCTGAGCATCAACTTTAACATTCAAA